AATTTAATTTAATAGTATAGGGAGTTGATAATTATGGTTGACGTATATTATACAATTGATAGTATAAATCGAAAGAATCTTTATGTGATGGCATATTTGGTAAAGTTTTGCCAATTGAATATGGTGCACACGTACTGTATGTGGGCAATTTTGATTTTAGTGTGATAAACACTTTTGATCCGATTATAAATATAGAAATTTAAAAAAAAAAAAGTTTTTTTTTCACACAACAAAATTAATAAAAACAGAAACCGTTATTTGGACACAGGTTGGATGTTTGGGCTGCATATTGTCGACATAAATTGGATTACAAAGCACCTCTCAGAGTTAAATCGTTTCCTTTGGTCGTAATAGGTATCGCCCTCTTTGGTGCGCGATGTTGTTCGGCGTTACGAACTAGTCGGCGCCTCCGATTAATAGTCACCAAAATGGACTTTACTATCATAGGAACAACGACAAAGGCATGAAACAGTTACACCACCACTATTTAAAAAAATTAATTAATTAATCTAAGTCGATGTGTAAGGTTAATAAGAATCAAATTGAGCGATCCGAAAAGAAAAAAGCAGGGGATACTTACTAAGTTAACGGAATTGAATCATTTGAAAGAATTCAAATAACAAATATGATACGATTAACCTATTTTGAGCAAAAACTCATGCACACATTAGCTGAGGTTGATAAGTTTAATCCGCATTGCCAAAAAAGTACTTGGCTAAAGCATAAGTTGCGTTACCACCCATGAATGGACTTAACATTTACACTGATAATAAAATTTGTAATAATGAGATGGTCAATAGGGTCACAGATGGGTCAATTAAACCACAATAGTATTAAAAAAAAATTCATTGTCAAAATTTGTGAAATAAATGCGTACACACGAATAACATAATTAATATGACATGTTACCGCTAATCTGTATATGCAAATTTGCTGATCGGGGTTAGGCTTAAGTGTCCGACCGAGAGAATAGAGGTTAGTGGCTGAGAAGAACTCGAAACGAAGTGATTGAGGTAGTACGTTCGTACCACCTCACAAACATCAAACAAAAACAAAAACAACGGCAGAAGCAACAATAACAATAATATATGTAATGTACGCGTTAATTGCATAACGGGCATAAGATAGGTTGATTTAAATGAGTAATAATTTTTAAGAAACCGATGCGTATGTTACATATCGGTGTTATATGAGCCATTTCTAAATAGGAATAAGTATTCTCACCTATTAAAGTGTATAAAAGTACGGATGTGGTAAATCTTATGTGGGTCATTATACAGTGATAACGCAGAAATAGAACAATGAGTGGACAATAAATCCGAGGAAAGAATGGATAGTTTCTTTTTCGGATTGAAAGGGTGATGTTGAGATGCAGAACAAAAAGATGGTAAATGATACGGAGTCATATAATATTACCACAACGAAATTATTTTACGGGCTTCATCGTGTTCAGCTGCAATCAGATAGCATCTTATATTTCCTTTTTGCAAGATTATTTATCTCTACGTTGATGAGATACTAGTGGCTCACATCACCCATTCATATGAGATTAGTGTGACATTCTCAACTTGATTTATTGTGTGTGTACAGTAACAGCGAGTGGTAGCATCGATATCGCCGGCTGGTGAGTGTGAAACGAAAATGTGTAAAAATATTATTATAGTCATATGTGAAGTGAATTGACAGAATTTCAGGATGCGAGCATATGATCAAAATTTATAGACACAAGCAGAATTATTTATTGCTCAAGATTGAGTTTCATTGTGCATTGTCTGCATCTTCCACTCGCCAAACAGTAAGCGTACATATCATCTCTAGGTAAGACCAACCTGTTATGAGTGTTTATTGTTTATTGTGTTCCTCCAAAAGTTCTGCACCATCCTAATAGATGCTAGTAATAAAAAAAAAATTTTTTTTTTTTTTTAATAATATGTAAAATGTTAAGCTTATATAATAAATAGTCTTATTAACGAGAAATATTAATACCCATTTTCCCGTGTATTGAAAACAAAATACCAAAATTGTTTCTTCGGCGTTTGACCATCATTTACAATCGCAGATATATAGAGAATCATTGTTTTTACTTTTACTTACCCCTTGTCCGTCAATCTCACTTAAAAAAAATATTTATCATGGTGATGGTGACGTTGATGATGTCGGGTTGGCGGTGGTCTTATACCATTTGTCTACACACGTACGCATATACATTTCTTTATCTCCCAAGGATATATATGTGTGTACCTTTGGAAAATACTTTGCGCCATATTTACTTCCTCATACATACATCGAACGAGAATTTTCTCCGTTCTCCTCCGCAAAAAATCACATTAAACTCCAAATTTTCTATTCGGTCCATCTGTTATGAAAGGTAATCTTTTCGAATAATAGTAATTAATTCTACCTCTTTCTCTTTTTTCTTCGTTGCCCTTTTCCTTTCCTCTTCGTCCTATCATCGACAACACGAATTATATACCTATTATATAATAATATAATAATAATATAATAATAATATAATATAATATAATATATAATAATAATAATAATAATAATAATAATTATTATTATTATTATTATTATTATTATAAGTATAATTATAATTATAGTTATTATTATTATTATAAGATAAAGGGAGGTTATATCTTGCGTATTATCATAATGCAACTCTTAGTCTCAAAATAAATTATTCAAACGTATTATTATTTGTACGAATAAGGTTTTTTTCAGAGATTTCGATTTTTGGTTTATTTATGATACTTACTCCTATTTATTTTAATCATTCTAGTACCCTGTAGTGTAAGTTTCTACTCCGGAATACATTCACGGCTTGTCTTCTACTTTTATTTTATTAGCTTAACAAAAATCATTTTTCAAATCTCTATAAATTACCAAACTATAATTCATTATCCTTATTTTTATCATAACTTTTTTTTTCCTTTGCTGTTTTGAACCCAAAGTGGTCTTAATTTTTTTGAAAAAATTTTCGTCTTCCTCAATTCTCTTACTTTAGGAATCTTACCCCGTAAAAAAATTACTTATCAGGTAGCGTATTATCATAATTTGATTTTTGGGGGGACGTATAAAAATTCTGGTTTTTTTTGCCTTCCTTTTCTTTCTCTCTTCTCTCAAAGACTCCTTCACACGGTCTTCTACCTCGAGCTGATACTTACGACACGTTCCGCCTTGTCTTGTCCCATTCCACACGGAGTTTCATTTTTACATGAATTTCTTCCCATGACTGAATCTCACTGAAAGAAATCCTCATTTTACGACATCCACACTTTCACCTCCTTTTTTCCCCCCCCCGTTCTTTTTACCTTAATTTTATATTTCACACTACTGCCTCGTCATACCATTTAACCACCATCGTCTCCATTCTTTTGACAGCTTCCTCTTTGTCCATCCTACGCAATGCCTTCACCAACTGACTCGAATCCTATATCAACAGCTGTAAACAACACCGTCATAACCTCCGCGCAGAAAGATTCCTCTGAATTGTCCAAGGAATCTCGTTCTCAACAGGTTCCCATCGACGATAAAGATGTCACCGTAGACAATGCAAATGGTGTCATTCACGATGATTCGGACATGGTCGCAAACACAATAATTTCTAGATCTTCGCCACCATTCATTCATGACAGTGGCTTAAACGTCGTCACCGCCGCATCGTCGAACTCTTCAAGTGTTGTTAATACCAACATTCTCAACTCCGCGCAGAGTAACGATTCTCCGGTCGCACAAAAATCGACCCAAAAAGTATCCAAACAGCACACGACACAAAGACCCCCCCGAAGAACAAGGAATTCGGCAAAAGTGGTTAATACAAGTGTTCAAAATGAAAAAGACGCCGCGACCACTCCTGGTTCTCTCTCCACAAATGTTATCCCAATTGCCTCTGCAACTGGTAGATCATTGCAGTCAATAATACCCGCCAGCTCCTCGCCTTCCACCACCGCTTCCATTAATGCGGCCAGTGTCGTCAAGCGCAATCTACCGCAGAAAGACGTCACCCCGGAAAACATTGGCGATCGTTATCTGGAGTTCATTCTGTATTGTAATCCTTCGGCTCCCTCGGATTTGGATGTGTCTTCATTGATTCGTTCATTCAACGCCGTGCCAAAATCGGATGGCAAGACTTTTGAGACTTGGGTCTTGTTTCAACTTGTCTCCAAACATCATTCGGGTGAGATCAAGACCTGGACCAAATTGGCTCAACAATTGGGTGTCGAGCGTACCAATGAATCGAGTCCTCAGAAAATTCAGCAGTATGCCGTGAGGCTAAAGGTAATTTCATAGCGAGCTCTCTTATTTTCTTATTTTTTTTTTTTCCTTGTCCATCTTTTTTCTTATCGTGTGATTCAAAATTTTGGGGGTTCGACTCCCATCACAATAATTACCGTTAAGTACAATCACAAATTTTTGAAAAGGATTGGCTGCCCTGAGCAACTAACCATTGCGTGCTCGCTTAAAAAATTATTATGGCATGGTATGCATACCCCGTGTTTTAGGTCACAAACAAAACAATGAGGAGTTACTTTTTCTTCCGATTATGCAGGGGGTGAGGAAAGGCTTTCGCCCACTCTTTCTAGAAGAGTTACACGAAAAAGTTACACGAATTTAGCACAATGGGCAATCTAGAAAGAAACTCGTTTTTTTTTGAGAAAAAATGAAGGACAAGGAATTCTTGCATTTTTGGTTTCATTCAATTACTATATATACTTACTGTTCATGCATCATCACCACCGATAACCAACCAATACCATTTTTACCCATACGTACACAGAAATGGATGCGTTCCATTCACATTGATGCATTCTTCGACTATATCTTATCAAAACCCAATGAGTACTACGAAGAACCGCACAAGAATCCCACTGGCGCCGAACTTTCAAGTGGTGGTGCTGATGATTTGGACGAAAGCGACTTGGTGCTAAAGTTGATCAAACGGGCCAGCAGTAAACGGCAAAAAAGAAAGTACACACGTCGTAACAATGGAAGTGGTACCGATGCTGGCAACAATGGTAACAACAACGCCAACGATGATGACGATGATGATGATGACGAAGACGAGGATGATTTGGATCTCGATGATGGTGCGTCCAAACATCGTGGTAAGCGCGTGAAATCGGTCAACTATTCGGATAGAAGTGAAGATGATCTCGATGAGGACGAGGATCGGGACGCTTGGGAAGATGATGCCGATGACATGATGCACATCGACAATCCAATCGCGTCTTCATCAAAGAGCACGGATGGAAGAAAAGCTGCTGGATCGTTACGTAGAAAAAGTGTTGTTCAGGTATGTATCGGTTGCTGAAGATATGCGTGCGCCGAGCAACGGGGTCAGGCTTTGATAAAAACTCAAGTTTTTTGCTTCCTTCTTTTGTCGCAACAGTTCGCCTCCACGCGAGAAAACATACCAAAACTCGGTAAACCGAAAAATATACTCACTCATAACATTCCTACACCCAATCCTTCGCCTACCACCATGCCTGACATAAAACTCAATCACAATTCTTCAGGTGTCACCGGCGACGCCGGAAACTTTCGTATGGTTTCTAGCCCTGGCGCGACTGGTAGTCCTGGCACGCAACTGCGATGGAGAAGTATCTCTGTAGGCGGAGGTCCCACATCAGCACAAGCAAGTGACATGTCAACCCCTCAGTCATTCTTGTCGGTCGCTCCCACCACCACCTCAACTTCCCAGACTCAAAAGGGAAGCAACAACAGCAATAATAATAATAGTAACAGTAATTCCTCATCTTCAAGGCGGAAACAAAGTGGTGACGCATCTGCTTCTGGGCATTTTGATAGTTTTAGGATTCAAGGCAAACGTCAGCAAAAACAACAACAGCAGCAAGATCGACAATCAACCGATTCGAGTTGGTGGGCTAACAATTCTAACAATTCATCATCAGGTGCTCTTGGCGGCGGACCTGGATCAGAGGTGTCAAAGGACAATAGTAATGATGGTTTCTCATATGCGGAATTGCTCATTCCACCTAACAATGTGTCCGATCCTAACGTCACAATTAACATGCTTCAACAACGACTGGTAAAGGCTGTAGGAATGTTGGAGGATAAACAACGTAAAATTGATCTGTTAGAAAATGTTGTGAGGCAACGAGAAGAAGAAGTTCGGAAGCGAGCGGCTCGTGGACTGAAGGAAGAAGTGATTAACTTTCTTCAGCGATGGGAATGACTCTGACCGCTTTTTCAACAAAAATAAACGGGAAAAAAAAAATGGAAAGTCTATCAACGGTTTTTATCGAAAAAATGTGTATTGGCAGCTCGGAATAGCGTTTCGTTAGATACCCCACTTTTTTTTTTTTTTTTTTTAACGCAGTAAATTGCTGTACAATTTCTTGTTTGGGTATTTATACAATAATAGCATATCGTGAGTAGCATACGAGACGCATGTATATAGGATTTTTTTTTCAAAAAAAAAAAAAAACACTGAATACGATAATCTAGAGACATCGTACATACTGTAGGAAAACGTGGTTTCTGAATGCATAACATTGATTTTATAGTTTAGTACATATGAATACATATGACGACGCGTACATGTTTTGCTCTTAAGAGTCTCAAACATTACATTTTTGATATTACACGTACAGTATTTAAAAATGCAAAGAAAAATATATAAAATTACTTTGAAAGGACGCGTAAAAGATAATGTCGAATAGCTCTCTTCATTCTGTGATTAATTTTTATCGAAAAGCATGAGAAACTTTAATGCTTCTGCATATATGTACAGATAGAAATGCATAATAAAATTTATTTTTTTTTTTGAGAATTGAACAATTTACTGTATATCGAATATAGATCATATTAATAAATATATTTTATAAGAAAAATGTTACCAAAGCAAAACGATCAATACATTAATAATTATTTATATAGGTTTATTTCTCTTTTAATAACATAATTCTAATATAAGAATTGATAATTTATTAAAAAGATATGGATAGATAAATTAAATATGCTTAAATAACGCAATAACATATGGTTTGAAAGTTATTTTTTAAAAAAAGAAATACTTTGACCCTAAGAGATTTAATAACTAGGTGTGACTTATGGACTAGTATATCTAGAGAAAAGAATTAATGAAGTTCGAAATTTAATTACGTAATTAAAATTAAAAATATTTTTTTAAAAAAGATTAAAATAAAATGAGAGAATTTTAGTGAAAATAGTAAAATCTTTTTTTTAAGCTTTCTAGTTCCGTTTCTAAATTTTTGAAACGTAATATAACAGGTTTTTTAAAAGATTAAAATAAAAGGATTATTAAGTAATATCGTGAGAATAACAAAATATGTATCAAGGAAAGAAAAGATTTTATAATATTTGTTATAATACTTTTTTTTGTTAAGAATAAAAATTTTGTAAAAAATCTTGATTATTTGAGAAAAAACTTTGTCAAAAGTTGATAAAAGATCTGACAGGTTTTTAAAAATATTTTTTTATATCTTTTAAATAGTATTAGGAAATTTTAATTTACTAATTTTTTTTTAAATAATAAAAAAATCATTATTATATTTTAAAACCTGAGACAATAAGCAAAAACTGAGATTATAAATATTAAATATTTTAAGTAAGTGATAAAAATATAAGTATTTGAAAAAAATTTGATTTTGTATTTAACTTTTTTGTCAAGTTAAATAATAATATTTTTTTTTTTTTGAGTTTTTTAAAAGTAAAAATATATTTTTATATATTTTTTAATAATTCTTTTGAATTTATTAAATTTATTAATCCGTAATTTATGAATATCAAAGTAAAACTCTTTTCATTGATCCTCTTGCCAATCCAAAAACAGACATTCCAAAGAAATTTTATATTCTTTGTAACAAAGTCTATATACTCTCTTTAACAATATTACTATCCAAAAACTGAAGTCTTTTTCTACTTGTTTTTTTCTTTTTTTGAAATAAACTTTTTGTATTTCAACAAGTAAATATAAGAAAAATCTATTTATAAAATTAAAGAAAAAAATATTTTGTTAGAAAAAAAAATCAATAAAAACAGTATCCTTTTTCTTTTCTTTAGAGATTCAAGATTCTAAAAAAAATTATTATAGACTTTTGAAACTCTTCTTTTATTTTTTTTCAAATTCTTCTATCTTTTCAAGTGTATAAATTTTTTTCTGATTTTTTTGAAAAATTTTGCTTATCTTAGTTTGATCTTGAATTTTTAGTTACATCAGAATCACTGAATAATGATTGACTTGAAATTTGAATTAGTTGATCTGTATATAGCAAAAAATATAAACAAGACATAAATTTCATAAATTTCATTTTATATAACTTATATTTAATAATGTAATTGGTAATAACAAAAAAAGCAAAGTAATGAGATATACTTTTTAACAAAAGAAATAGTTTGATGCTTTCATTTATCTCTTTTGAACTAGCTTTATTTCTCTTCAAAATTAAAGAAAGGTTTTAGTTTAATCCAGTAATAAGCTAACTCTACTATTGATTATTTTAAAAATAATTGAAAAAAGTGGTCTTAAAATTATTGACTAATTGAATAAAGTCATAAATCCTTAAAAAATTGATTTAAAAAAAATTATCAATTAAAATATCAATTCTTTCTAAAGATTAGAAATTTTTAAATATAAAGTTTTAAAAAATTACTATTAAACTCTTTCCGTTGATCCCCTTGCCAACACAAAAAACAGATGTTCCAAGGAAATTTTTATATTTCTTTGTAATAAAGTCTATACACTTT